CGAAAATGCTGCATAGCTCATGTAATTGAATACTGTAGTGAAAGTAAGAAAGAGAATGGCTGTAAGTGTAGTGCTTGTTTACCCTCATGATTGCCTCGCTGACTGGGAGCTGCAGCTCGCCGCTGCTGCCCAGCACCACCAGAGACTATCACATGGCACATCACTGACCTGGGAAAAGATCAAAATTCCCAGTTTGAAGTATGGTTTCTACTGAGTGCATGGTGCTTTCACACCATCATAAAATACACAAATCGTAAGTCGGGGACTGTCTGTATTTGCCTCTGAGCAGTTCTTTGTCCTGTTCTCTCCTGTAGTCTTTCCTGTTTCCTCTTCCCAGCAAGACTCTGAAGTCATCTGTAATTTCTCCATCCCCTAGATAACAATACATTGACATTCACCCCCAATCTGCAGATGAAGTCACGGACTCAGAGTGCAGGGAGAGTGGCTGAGTTGCACAGTGAACCTGGCCCCCAGTGGGGGTGGCCCTGGGGCTTGCAGCCTGTGGCCTGGTCCCTGTGCTATGCACTGTGCACACAAAGGAAGCTGCAGGCACAGCATTCTGGTGGGCTGGTTCCTGAGCTCACAGGCATTATCTGGCTCCTCTGTTCCCTGGCAGGCCCAGCATTTTCTCTCCAGCTCCGGCAGGCCTGTGGGTTTCTCTGTGTTGGCCTCCCCTCCCTTTGGAGCCGGAAGCTAGAAGGTGTGTTTGCGACAGGCCCAAAGGCTCTGTGTGAAACGGAAGAGGGGAGTCCATGAGTGTGCGTGGTGCCCACCGGCAAAGCCAGGGCTGGCGGGCAACGCTGTTTGGTTCTGATTCATGAATTTAGACCATGGAAGGGCCTTTTGCTTCTGGTTGGGCAATGCTGCCTAGGGACTATGTTTGATTTGGAGGAGTTTGGGGGTTCTTTTGTTATAAAAGTGAAGCTGGGTACTGCCAAAGAGTAGTTCACCTTTCCTAATCACCCCTTCATCAGATCAGTCCTATCAGTGGGCTTTGGTTATGACTGGTATAAATGACAGCTAAACAATTCAAGCTGCTGAGGTGGGAGGAATCTTGTTTTGGAATTGCACGTGCTGTTCTGAACCTAACTAAGTAGTGTGGGTTGTTGGCTTTGCAACAAGTTCTTTGTCATTTTTTTCAGAAACTGTTGTGACTCTTTGAGATCAATGGGGAACAGGTGAAGAAATATAGGGAAATAAGGTAAATACACATGTATCAGGGGTGGGGAGCAGGGGGATAAATGCATGTTCTGGGCTGGTTGCTAGAATGCATGCTAGCAGCAGAACACACCAACCAAAGGAGTAATAGGCCCCATTCATTGGAGAGATACTAGGGCCTCTGTGAGTCAAGTGTTTATGTGGGTGTTGGAGGAGTCAGGCCTGTGGGTTGATTGTCTAGCAAGAAGCTCAGACTTGTAAACAACTGGGAATAGGTGCAAAGCGAGCTGACATTGCAACATTATGAGTGCAGCTGCTCAGAAATGAGAAGCTGGTTTTGCCTGCAGTTCCAAAGGTTATTCTTTGTGTCTTGCCCAGGGTCTGTTGGAATAGAAACTGCAGATTAGTCTCAATTGATAATTTTCTTAGAATTCTTAAACAGTTAGGGGATCTTAAAATCTGCTCTTAAGAATTCTCTGCTGTTTTACATTAAGCATCCAGTTCTAGAGGAAGAAGGGGATATCCGCCCTCACAGGGGGACTCTTATCTAAGTGAGCACTATTAAGACCAAGAGGAAGTGTCCCCTCCCCCCTGAATGAAAGTGATTCTGCAAAGTTTACGCAGATGCCACTATCAGAAACTGGTGTTTGCCACCATCAGAAACTGATGTTTCCCACTGTCTTTCCCATTCTACTCTAGAGGATTCGGTCTACCAAGACCAGCCAAACCAAGAGGGGAAATTACTAATTCTGATCTATCCCTTGCTCTGTTGATGGTAAAGCACACACACAAAAAATACATTTTACATTACAACCTGAAGCCACATATACATAAAACTGAAAGTTTCACAAAATGATACTTAAACTACTTTCAGGGCATTATGCCATTCTCTATTTTGTTCTTTTCCTTTTCCTTTTTTAAATACTGGTTGTGACTTCCTCAGAGGCACTAGCAAGTTTTAAAATCTATACCCTATGAGATAAGATGATTATCTCTGGACAAAGTCTCTATGAGGATTGGCTCTGATCTCCCATACTCCTTGGACTTTTGCATGCCTGGTCTTTGCTGTTATCAGCCCAACATGGAGTAACTTTGGCAGATAGGGAACACAGCTATATGTAAAGGGCCAGAAGCTGGGAAGGAATTCCCATAGCCAAGGTTAGCCCAGCAGAGCAGGGTGCTCTCAATGTATGCAGTTGGTTTCATAGCACGGCCAAAGGGCGGGGGACTTGAGGTTGAGATCTTTGAGCAAAATGCAGAGCCTTTTTCCTGGGGCTTGTGATGTAGGCTCAGCTACCCAGCCAGCGTGGACTGAGTGGAGCTTGCGTGGTCTTTTCCCTGTCAATCTGAAGCTCAGGAGACTGATATGTTAACCCTGAGGGGAGAGAGTACTTCTCTAGGCAAAAGGATGTATCTTACTTCAGATAAGCCACGGGGGACAGAGTACTTGAGGACAGGAGGTGCTGTCTCCTAGTCATGAAAGAAAGGGGAGGACATGTGACTGACTGGGCCTCCTGACCCCAGTTCTTCCCAAGTGACCAGCTGTTTGAGTGAAGGATGTCTCCACCCCCACCATGGTTCTTTGTACCAACACTCAGAGAATGCCTACCAGGTCAGACACTGACCTGCATGCTGAGGGCAGGGTGTCTATGACATCATGCCCTAGTCACAGAGTTCACAGTGTAATTGGCAGAGACAGTTAAATGTAAAAAGTCAGTCCGGGAAGATGGGTGCAAGAATGTGCTGTGGTAATACAGGAAGCCACATCTTTGGTGGTAGTGCTGGAGGGTGTCCTCAATTCTGACTTCCCAGAAAAGGATGCCTATAGAATTTAGTGAAGATTATAGTATACTACTTATTAGCAGAGAGAGCAGGGCTCAGCAGGCCACAGGACTGTGGTACAAAGGCTGCCACGTGTGAACTAGCAAGCATGGCTGAGCTTCCAGCCAGCACTCTGGTACTGACAACTGTTAGAGAGAACGTCTGAAGGGGGTGAAGGAGCTCAGTTAGTCTCATGGTTAGATCTGAGTTTTATTTTTATTTATTATTTTTTAAAGATTTTTATTTATTTATTTGACAGAGAGACAAAGAGACTGCGAGAGAGGGCTCGCAAGCAGGGGGAGTTGGAGAGGGAGAAGCAGGCTTCCCGCCAAGCAGGGAGCCCGATGAGGGGCTCGATCCCAGGACCCTGGGATTATGACCTGAGCCAAAGGCAGACGCTTAAAGACTGAGCCACCCAGGCGCCCCTAGATCTGAGTTGTGGAAAGGTCACTCTAGGGTAGCGGATGGGTCGGTCAGTGATCGTTTTGGCTGCTGCACTCGTCTGGGTGAGAGGTGATGGTAACAGGAAGAGGTGAAGAGAGAGATTTAGAAGAAACAATTCACAGGATCAAGTAACTGGCTATGGAATGCAGGAAAAGGAGGACTTTCAGATTTTTGGCACAGATGCATGAACTGCAGTCAGACACAAAGAAAGAGAAAATGGCAACAGCAGGTGTTAGGGGAGAAGACCGTAGAAGGGGTGAGAAATGGCACTGGAGTGTCCCTGTGTGCAAGGTAATTATCTATCTACCTCCCTCTATCTATATTTCTGTGAATATTCCCACTTAACTTGCATAAGGACTGAGTTAAATGGGGTCATCCCAGTTTTTCAGATTCCTGGATTAGGTGCACGCCGCAGGGCAGTGGGAGTGCCAGCGCTGGTGTTCACATTGCCGGACTACAAAGACAGTGCTCTTTGGCTATAACCCTGTGCCTTCCTGGTTTGAATGTACTAAATTTGAGATGCCTGTTGAGTTTCCAAATGAAAAAGGAGGAAGAGGACTATATAGATGTGGGGCTCACAAAGTTATTTTGGTTTGAGAGAGTTTGGGCTGTGCTTTTTGAAAATATATCTCGACTCCCTGATTTACAAACCTTGATTTTTTAAAACAAAATCTTATTCTTATTCCTGTCTTGTCTGGGGTAAGCTTTAATGAATTTTAACTGTTACGAACTTTCTTTTCATCATTCATCTATTTTGCCTTGAACTATATACAGGCATAATCTTGGAGACACAGCAGGTTTGGTTCCAGACCAATCACAATAAGGCAGATATCATGATAAAGCAAGTCAAATGAATTTTTTGATCTCCCAGCACATACAAAAGTTATGTTCACACTATACTGTGATCTGTGAAATGTGTCTTAAAAAATATACATACCTTAATTAAAAAATGGTTTCTTGCTAAAAAATGCTAACAATCATCCAGGCTTTTACTGAGTCACAGTCACCTGATCACAGATCACTGTTACAAATATAATAACGAAAACATTTGAAATACTATGAGAATCATCGAAATGGGACACAGAGACACGAGGAGAGCAAATGCTGTTGGAAAAATGGCAATCCTTTGCTTGACGCAAGGTTACCACAAACCTTCAACTTGTAAGAAAGGTGTTGTGCCCTAAAACAAGGGGTCCCCGCTGCTCTTTTCATCCTGGCTGCACTGCAGATCAGTATATTCCTGGACACACCCATGTGAGATTGTGAACTTCAAGTGTATAGGCTCATAGCCATTTGGGAGGCTTTTTATTTTTTAAGGTTAAGATGAGGAAAGGGTCTCCATATGCTGAAGGGGAGGACAGTAGGGAGTGAATGGTTCTTTCCCTTTCCCTAGCCTCCTCCTGCCCCCACCAAGAAATAAACATCTGTATGCCCCTGCTAAACACGAGCTGCCTCTCATCACCTTCTGTCCACATCTGGCACGTTACATTTCATTTTGAAGAACAAAAAGTTGTCTCTTCCTTTTTGGTCACTCTCACCCATTCACTTGGCATCTTTTCTCTTCCTGACTCTAACAGGTGGCACTTTACTCTCACAGAAGGAAGCCCATGGACTAGTGACACGAGGCCTGTCACCTAAGTCAGTGAAGGATGCCGGTGTGGCAACACTCTGACGGACCAGTGTCCTCCTCCTTCTGCGTGTTGCACTCTTTCGCAATCTCAGAAAAAATGGTATGAAAAGACAGTATTTTGTGACACGAGAAGCTCCTACTTTTCTAATGATGGACGTGTATTAAGATGGACATCTGTTCTACACGATACCACGTTCTTCGGTCTCGAAGGAGCAAGCGCCCATTTAAAACCAATCCTAAGTAAAAACGGAGCTGCATGGATGTCAGAATGTTTGTGAGTGGCAGAAGAGTAAAAAAATGGCAGTTCATTCAGTTATTTGCCACTTGTTTTATACTAAGCCTCATGTTTTTTTGGGGACCCATCGATAATCACATTGTGAGCCATATGAAGTCCTACTCTTACAGATACCTCATAAATAGCTATGACTTTGTGAATGATAGCCTGTCTCTTAAGCATAGTGTGGATGGGGTGACTCGCTACCAGTACCTGATTAACCATGAGGAGAAATGTCAGGCACAAGACATCCTCCTGTTATTATTTGTAAAAACTGCTCCCGAAAACTACTACCGACGTTCCGCAATTAGAAAAACGTGGGGCAATGAGAAGTACGTTCAGTCTCAGCTTAATGCCAACATCAAAACTCTGTTTGCTTTAGGGACACCTGCTAACCCACTGATGAGAGAAGAACTGCAGAGAAAACTGGTCTGGGAAGATCAAGTGTACAGTGATCTAATCCAGCAAGACTTTGCTGATTCTTTCTATAATCTTACTCTTAAATTACTTCTGCAGTTCAGTTGGGCAAACAGCTTTTGTCCTCATGCCAAATTCCTTATGACAGCTGATGATGACATATTTATTCATATGCCAAATCTTATCGAATACCTTCAAAGTTTAGAAAAAATTGGTGTTCAGGACTTTTGGATTGGTCGGGTTCATCGCGGAGCTCCTCCTGTGAGAGACAAACGCAGCAAATACTATGTCCCTTATGAAATGTACCAGTGGCCAGCTTACCCTGACTATACTGCTGGAGCTGCCTATGTGATCTCTGGCGACGTAGCCGCCAAAGTCTACGAGGCGTCACAGACACTTAACTCTAATCTTTACATAGATGATGTGTTCATGGGCCTCTGTGCCAATAAAATGGGGATAGTACCACAACACCATGTGTTTTTCTCTGGGGAAGGGAAAACTCCTTATCATCCCTGCATCTACGATAAAATGATAACATCTCATGGACACGTACAAGACCTTCAGGACCTCTGGAGGGATGCCACAGACCCCAAAGTCAAAACAATTTCAAAAGGGTTTTTTGGTCAAATATACTGCAGGATAATTAAGATAGTTCTCCTCTGCAGACTGACCTCTCTTAACACGTATCCTTGTAGGGCCGCCTTTGTCTAATGGTACTTGAATGTTGTATGTTTTCACTGTCACTGAGCCAAACCTGGGTGAAAAAACTTTATGTATTTGTTGATACCTTAAGTAAAATGAGTATGAAAAAGCGAAGAAATATTTTGAAAACCCAGTCTATCAGAATGTTTCTTTGATTCTAGAAGCTATTCAGTGTAACTTATCTACTTCATGGCCCAAATTCATTTCAAGGAATTTATATTTAGAGAAGGGTTATGGAGACAAAACTAAAGGGAAACTCAAGTTCTCACTCGATGCCACGTGTATATTTGAGGCATAGAGAAGTTATTAAGGTGCCTTGGTGTTAGAGTAAGTGCTTTTGGAAAATACTAAGTGAATGTAAAGTACAACATTTCAGAGAAATGGGTATGTTGTCAGACCAGATTTACAAATTAGTTTTCACTGGAGAGCACATGACTGGGGGAGATGGGAGCAGCAGAGGATTGGCATAGGAGAAAGTACTTGAACCTGAAAAGAAAGTTACTGTTCTTCAGAGGGGACTTAGAAAAATGTACACAATTTCTTTAGAAACAGCCAAATCAATTGTTGTCACATCCCTGTAGCTAACTTACCTATATAGTATTAGAATCATTTAAAATATATTTATATCATTTTTCAAAGTGTAATGTGAAATTTGAGCTGTCATTCGCTCTGGCCTAACTGGTACTTCATGTGAATTTTTTGATTATTAGAAATGACACAAAACATTGGCAGTTTATTGCTCACAAGGTCTTTATCTAGGGAGAAATCATTGTTCATTCAAATCAGCCAATTTTAATGAATTTTTCAGCTGGTTTTTAAATATTCAATATCAGCCTGTTTCTAAGGTAGTTATTTGAATGTAGTTTGCAGAGAGGAATATAATAATGGAGAGGACTTCAAAAAGAAAGAACATTAAATGCCTCTTTTCTCCTTTTCTGTAATTTATAAAATAAAATTCTTAGTGTGTAAATTATTGTGACAACGAAAATTAGCCTATCCCTCCCCAACAACATCTCCTAAACCACAGTACTTTGTCAGATTCTAAAATCAAGAGTATTCAACATCAAATCAAAGCTATCCTACCTTAAAAAAAAAAAATCATCAAAATGATTATCAGAGGTGTCATCAATTTTGAAATACCTCACATTGGAAAGCAGAACGAAGTGATAAAAATGTCACCAGAATGAGGTTTAAAATATTTGCGAAGCTTCCTATTCAAAGAGATGTGGCTGAGCTCTGAAAGAGTAAGTTGCGTTCATCTCACAGGGCATGATAGAAATGTGGTCATGATGCAAAACCTCCCCTCACTACAGAAAGGACTAGGTGACGTCTATTGTCACAGGGATTATACGACGTCCAAAATGGTGACTTCAGCAAAAGCAGTTGAACTGACTGTAAAACCTCTGTTTCTGCAGAGGTGACTGTTAGGGAAAACTAAGATGTCTCATTTCATTAGATGAGATCTGAAACATGCAGAACATAAAACTGAAAGAACTGGCAAACAATTGGAGGATGATACATACTGTAATTTTTTGCAGATAGCTTTTGAATGTTTACAGGAATTTTTTGTTAATTTTTTTTCTATTTTGAAAATTGAGGCTTGTTTACATTGATTGCTCAGATTAATTTAGGATTTTTAACTAATATCCAGACTACGGTGTCCACCATTCTGGGCTTGTAGTGACTTTCGGAGTAGGTTCAATATTTTTAGATCACAACAGTTTCAATTTTCTGACCAATTTTAAGACCTGTAGATAACAAAATCACATTTTGACAAAGCTGGTTTACAATTAATTTTTATTAGTTGATTCTTTAATAATCGTTTGCCTTTTGGCCATACATACCCTGGGTATCTAACTGTTTAAATTTTCCATTGGTTGAAAACATAAGTGTCTCTCTGGCCATTGAGATGATCTTGTTTACAGCAATACTTTTGTGAAAAAATTATTTATTTGCAAAAGAGCTCCCCTCAACTGTGTTCATCTTCTTATTTTTGCTTAGAATATTAAAGGAAATATGAAGGCACTTCCTTTTTTAATAAGAAGGAAATTGCTAGATGCTTCCTTCGTTCGATTTAAAGTACTGAGAAGAATATTTGTAAATAAAAGGATTCCAGCCTTTTAAAAAAAGAAGGAAAAAATATTTTTGGTGCTTTAATGCAGGGCTGTCTCAAAAATCATCAACAAAGGGATACTGAACTATCAGAGTGGATGGTCACTTGAGTTAGACGACGGTTGTACACAGTGTTAATGCTAAAAACTTTTTACGTCTTGGTTGGTTTGCATCTTTTTTCCATATTATTAATTTTATACCAGTATGTTAAATATTTATATTATTTTGAATTTTGCTCTTGTATGGCAAAATAATTAGTGAGTTTTTAAAAATAAATCTGTGATTTCCAATAAAGAACTTGAAAATTGTCAGTGTATTTGCACAAACTTTTTAAACTCCTGTATGTGAACCCCATTTGTTTATATAATCAACTTGTTCTGTTTAATGTCAGGGAGGTCTATAGCCCACAATCTTAATCCTGTTGCTGTTCAGACCTGCTGCTGTGCCCAGCACAGAGGATTATCTTGTCCTCTCTCATGGAACCACCTAAAATGCTTCTTTAGTTTGTTAAATGATGTATGCTGGAATGTCTAAGTTCGGGGAAATCTTTTCTAATCAATTGTTCAGGAAAGAGATGAAAACCTGCAGCCATGGGGCCATCAAACACCATTGGAAAGGGTTACATTTTCCTTTTATTTGCTATCATTACTTGTTGGAAAGTAGATTCACATTAACTCTAGTCTTTGAAAGTCAGGAACGTTCTTAGGCCTCCTTCTGTCCGAGTGCTGCTTCTGTATATTTGTACATAGTATGTTTTCCTCTGCTTTTTACCTGATTCCTGCTCAGTTCTTAGCCTAAGATACGGTGTGATTCAATCTATATACGTTTTTAAAACTTGGAAGCATGCGATTTTTTTGCTTGTGGATATTTTTTCCAGGCCTCAAAGGCTCCTTACTGTCTTGAGCATCAAATCTAATCTCTTCAACCTGGTCCCCAAGGCCTTATGGAATCTTCCTTTCCTTCTTGATTTCCCATAGCAGTATTTTTCCCACTGCCACTATCATCAGTCACGAATCTTATTCATGACCACACCTTGTGTAAGTTAACCAATGGGCCATCATTTCTCCTGGACCTTTTGAAGTCTTGAAACTCCAACCCTAACTGTGCTCTTCCATTAAGCATCTCTTCCTCCCAAAATATATACTTAATCACATATGTTATTGTGCTACTGACTAATTGTTTCATGTGTTTTTTCCTAGCTAAAATACAAGTTCTGAAGGTAGGGACTGTGCACAGTGCTATCACAGGGGGCTTAAAGTAATCCCCCCGCCCCCTTAGGCGGTTAGCATCTGACTTGATTTCGGCTCAGGTCATGATCTCAGAGTCATGAGTTCTGAGCCCCAAGTTGGGCTCTGTTCTGCACATGGAGTCTGCTTAGGATTTTCCCTCTCCTACTGTCCCTCTCTGCCTTCCCTGCTCACTCTCTCTCTCTCTCAAAAAAAAAAAAAAAAAAAAAAAAAAAAAGATACACTGTCACTTAAGGACAAAAACAGAACACATCAGTCTAATGAAACTAATATGGGCTTTAATCAAATGGCAAGTTCCTGAAGACTTAGGTTCATTTACTTTACAGACATATTTTGAGGGCCTGCTAAAAGCTAAGTATTATCATAGTCCCTGGGCACAAGAGTGGCTCATAAGTCAGTAAGTTAAATGGCGTAGATACAAGTAGTGTGATGATTGCTAGAATAGAACTAATGATGTAGATTCTGAGTATAAAGAAGATTTTTTTTTAAATGAATTTCCTCTATGCTTTTGGTGTTTACCACACGAATTTAGGCTTTCTGAATGGCAGAGCAGTCACATGCATGCAAATATCTTCCTGTGGTCTGAAAATAGCATTGAATTTGTATAACTTGTGTCTTTGGGGAACCTATTCCTTTTAAATGCTTTCAAACCAGTAATTCAATCTATCAACATTAGTTTACATTTACTGTTTTGTTTTCTCTTGATAATTCATTTTTTAAAAATACTGAGTATACTTGGAACTTGGTTTCTAAGTCATGTGCAGCTCTTGCTTTTGCTTTTATGAAATCTGTGAGTTTGTTCTCAGGTACATAAATGAAGATTAGTATGCAGAATAAATATGTGATTTTACCTGGGGAAATGAGTGATGAGATTTAAAACAGAGGATCCACTCTCCTCTCCCTACCATCTCAAGGGGTTAAAATGATTCCTGCCCAGGAACTGCAATCTTACCTGGTGGGGGAAAGATTTTCAGGACTGTCAAGCTGCTCTGGCTTAGGGTTCTCCCCATCGTGACTGCTTTCCAGTATTTCTTCATTCTGAAGTGAAAGAAATTTTGGTAAGACCGTCTATTTTATTTGGGGGCTGTATATTTTTTCTTTTCCCCAATTTATTTGTTTTGTTCATTTTTGTTTTCAGTGTTCTGGATGAGCACCACGCCCAGTCCCTCATCTTTCTCTTTCTCGGATTTTTCCCAGCCCCTCTGCAGATCCTTTACAGTTTGCCCTTCAGGCTTCCTTTAGAAACATCAAAAACTCTTTCTCAAAAGCAGATAACACTTTTCCTTAATAGTGAACAGCTATTAATATTGTACTACCCCTTCCCAGTTGACTCACAGTAAGGATTCAGAGTTTGAGCTAAGGGGAAACAGTGAAGAGATCATTTGACTCAGTAGTTCCTTTCTTTCCCCTCTGGGGGTAAGAAATGAACATGTGGAGAAATTGCAACCTACCCAAGGCCAAAGAGTTAAAGACAGAGACGAAATAAACCCAGAGTCCACTCTCACAGGCTGGTAATCACAAGTCCATTCTAGCATACCATGTCCTGGGACAGCTGGTACATTACGGTGTATAGATTGGCTCCTGGTACAGGCTTGAAGCTGGGGGTCGGAAGCCTGGCTCACTACCTGCCAGCTCTGAGACCCTGGGCAAGTTCACTGAACCTTTCTACCTCGGTTTCCTCCCCTAGTACATGGACCGCACGGCACTATCTACCACACAGGGCTGGGGCTCTTTTTCAGAATATTAGGCATTTAATTATCAGAGAGAGGCAAAACTACTCATTTTACTTTCAAGAAAATATAGTTTTAACAAGGAAGTGAATTTATAGAAACTTGATATCAACAATAGAATCTTAAAGATATTGACTAATAATGAACACGTCGATAATTAGCCAGCTTTTGAATTCTTCCTGCCTTCCAGGTTCTGTTTAAATGAGTCCTTTCGTGCTGTCACAAAAGGGAGTATAGATTTTGAATGGGCCTCTAGCAAAAGTATTGTTTAAGGAAATATAGTGAGTAGATACATAGATTCTCTATAAATTAGAGCTGAAAGGTGAAGGATGAGCTTTCCCCAGACTAAGGAACAGATGAGAAGTCTCCTTGTAAAACAGCTCAGCTAGGCTCTCAGCTGGTTGTTGACAATGCAAGAAGAGAGGCCTCTCGGGCACCTGGGTGGCTCAGTGGGTTAAATCCTCCGTCTTCGGCTCAGGTCATGATCCCAGGATCCTGGGATCGATGGAGCCCCTCATCGATCGAGCCCCACATCAGGCTCTCTGCTCAGCAGGGAGCCTGCCTCCCCCCCTGCCCCTCTACCTGCCTCTCTGCCTACTTGTGATCTCTGTCAAACAAATAAATAAAATCTTAAAAAAAAAAAAAAAAAAAAAAAAAGAGGCGCCTCTCACTGGATTAACAGAAAGCAGTCAAGGTAAGGTGGTTTTTGTCATTCACAATGCCAGGCACAGAAACAGCAATTCAAAAATGTTCAATGAATGAAAGAAAATCAGGGATCATTGATCTTTTTCACTGATGTCCTCCCAAATCTGGCATATCCAGAAAGCAGGCTAACAAATAAAGGGCTGTTTGGGATACCAGTTTTGCATTCAGCTCTAAACTACATAGACAATCTTCAATTCCAAGTTCCTATTTGTTTCTTTTAAAATAGGATATCATTTCACTAGGCATCTAAATTGTTAGTATCCGCTATTACATATATATGACCAGATACTCGTAGATATTT